GGGGGGGGGGGGGGGGGGCTTGAGCAATGGCGATCCAATGGTTCTTCGGAGAAGGTCTCCTTGCAATTCGAACTCACCTGGTCGGGGCTTTTAATTTAGAGACTGAGGGGAAAGGAGTTCAGTTATCGCCAATGCCTTCACTGATTAAGAGTCTCGTAGGGAGTCTGGGAGAAAATAATTGCGGAGGAGTGATGATTATCATGTCTCAAAAATTTTGCGTTCAAAGTGTAAGGATATCCAAGTACCTTGGGTAGTTTTTCTCCAGTGAAATGTCTTTCTACTTTTGTAGTGGGGCATCAGGGCTTTTATTTGGGCCCCATTTGAGCCCAAGTTCCCGGACATTTTAGAAGGATTTTATTATCTAAAGTTTGGTAGTCTGAATTTGAATCTCGATATTGAACCGTTAGAAAACATTTTAAAAATCTGAAAAAATATTAGAAAGTTTAGTTTTGGAGGAAGACTGATGAAATAATTGAAAAATTGCAATTGTTTAAAATCACGAGCATTTTTTATAAATCATTTATAAAAAATCAATTGTCCACCATAAAAATCGTTTTAATGTCTGAAAGAACGAAATTTCTAAAAGTTTAAACAATTTGAATTATTCATTTATAAACACCGAATTTTTAAGAAAATAATAATTTTGTGCAAAACCTAATTTTAAAGATGCTGAATATTCCTGATTTTTCTTAAATTTTTCTCAGACAATTTAATTGACAAATTTGATGATTCAAAATGGTTGAATCTATAGTGTGGTCTGTACCAAACTGTAAAAGATACTTGGATATCCTTAAATGAAAAATTTTAATCATACAAATGGCTTTGGTTGTCCCCAAATATTAATATTTCGTCTCGAAAAATTTTTGTTTGATGCAAAACAAGGACCAAAGCTACATTTTTGGTTTGAAAAATTTGTGTGAATCATTCAACGAGGTTGCTATTTGTTTATCGGTTCGGCTATTCAATATTCAACTCCAGAAATTAATGTTTGAATAGAATAACGAAGACGAAGTGCTAGCGACCTAGTAGCTTCACTCTGCGCGAAACTTGATGACTGCCAATTCTCAAACATTTTGTGCTAAAAATGGTAAAAATGTGTTAAGTAAAAGAATTTCACCGCAAAAGTAAATTTGGTTGTTCTCAAAAATTGATATTTCGTATCGAAAAATGTTTGTTCAATGGAAAACAAGGAGCAAAGCCACATTTTCGTTCGAGAAATGAATTAAATCGCGAAAATACTGCAGTCAACTATAGAAATTTCTGAAGTTTGAATTTTATGATTTTAAGACTGTCTCGACGACGGTACTGAATTTATTTTAAATCCTACGAAATTTCATTGGGAAAAATAGTCGAGTTGAGAATGGAAAAATTCCACTAAATCCATCGAGATATTTTGAATCAAAAAGGGTAAATTCACGTGTTTGACACGCAACAGGAAATTTGTATGAATGATTCAACGAGATGGCTAATATTTGCTAACAATGACGATGTGATAGCAACCCTGTAACTTCGAATGAAATATTTTTCATTCAGCTTCGCTTCACGACAGATATTCATCCTGAAATGTCACCGCCCCCCGCGAATTACTAGCCTCTTGAGTCAATGTTTTTTTTTGTTGAAAACAGAAAAGAAAGCAAATCGCGCGCTTAACATAAACAAAGTGTTATCAAAAATTTTCTGCATCAGCTCAAATTTTTGATGATATGATCTGTCGTCACCACACGATGTTAAGAATATCCACGTATTTTGGCAATTTTGTTCTCCAGTGAAATGCCTTTCTAACCCATTCGACCCTAAGTTTCTAAACATTTTACAATGATTTTATTATTTAAACTTTGCAAGTCTGAATTTGAATCTCGATATTGAACCGTTAGAAAATATTTTAAAAATCTGAAAACAAATTAGAAAGTTTACTTTCGGAGGAAGATTGATAAAATCAATTAAAAATATGAATTTTTAAAAATTACGAGCATCTTCTATAAATAATTTATAAACAATCAATTTGCACCATAAAAATCACTTGTTCGGAATCGTAACAAATTCATTCATATTAAGAATTTTACCAGAAGTCCTTTTCATGCCTAAAAAAATAAGGTTTCCGAAAGTTTAAACAATTGCAATTATTTATTCATAAACAACGAATATTTAAAAGAATAATAATTCTGGGCAAAATGTAATTTTGAAGGCGCTGATTATTCATAATTTTCTTCAAAAATTTTCTCACGCAATTCAATGGCCAAATTATTAATAGAAAAATACTTGGATATCCTTAAATAATCCCCAGACTGCAAATTCCCAAAGTGATGAGACCTATTATTCCCTGGTAATCATCATTTCCCTGTTAAATTAGTTTCTCCCTCACCGTAATTACTTCCACGTATCGTCAATTCATAAATAAATGTCATACCTAACGAGACTCGTAATTAGTGAAAAAAATTAAAAATAAACATACACAAACTACCCTAAAATGCTGACCTAATCTGATTGAAATTCTATCATGTAGCGCTGTCAGAACAGAACAAATCTATTGTCCTCAACTCAAAAACTTTCATTTAAACCGAAAAACTCGATTTTTTAAATAATTTATATTGTTTTCTGTATCAACGAGTGCGTAGCGTATTCACTTTCAGATTGTTTGGCGCACGCTCATGATCACAGCTCAGTCGTAGGCCACACAGATTCTGTACTGTCACTCTCTCCGCTGTAACATCTCAGAACAGAAGGACAAACCATACATTAGTCTTTTACGGCCAATCTTCCAACCGTTTTTTAGTTAAGTTCTTTAATATCCTTTATCATTTCTTTTTGAGTATAATAGTTCGTCAAGTGACTCTAATTCTTGGCTTATTTCCTACGTCACCTGACTATTCTTGATGAATTGCTCTGCAGCGTTCACATTCGCTTTTTGTCATTTTACAAAATTTTACTTTCTAATTTAATGTGTACATGTTCTTTCTTTATTGTTAGTGTATTGATGGTTTCTTACGGTTTAGCAATATACCTTCTACGCGGGCTTTCTTCATTGGTGGCTCCATGCTGTTGTGAGGTGGAGTAGTCTGAAATTGCAGATCACAATTTGTTAATTGGGGTTGTATTTACACTGTTGAAAAGAATTGGAATTTTATGGATTGTTTTGGAGGAATACAACATGGAATTTGAAATTCCTTACTTGCAGGGGACGAGGTGTTCCTAACTTACTTGAAATTTCAATGAATTGAAGATTCAAGAATACATTTACCTGGATTTTTCGGATTTCTATTAATTGTTATAGAATAATTGAACTCAAATTTCCAGTTTCCATTCATTTGTTCATTGAAATTTCAGAACTGTCACTTGACAAAAAATTCCAGGAACTATGGAATCCTTTCAATAACGAGAAATTTTAGAGGAAAACATCAAGGGAATTTTTTTGAAAAGGAGAAAATTTCCAATAAAAAATGTCTCTACGTTTTTCTGTAAAATAAACCATTAATATTGAGAGAATTTCAAATTCAACAGGAAAAATCGTAACGTATTCATTTTTTCTGTCGACTACTGCAGAACAAATGAATAAAAAATAAAACGAATAAATAAATAAAATACACTTAAGGAATTAAATTGTGAATTTTAATTTTCTGTGCAGCAGAAAAACGAGAATTTCCCTAATTACTCCAATTTTTGAGGAAAAAATGAATATTTACCACCATATTACTCTGAATTTTTAATTAATTGACAATTCAAGAATATATTCCCCCAAATTATCATGACTTCTATTAATTTTAATGGAATAATTGACCTAAAATTGACTATTTCCATCGATTCTTTCCTCAAACTCTCTGTTTTCAATTACTAAATTCCTTAAAATATCCGCGTAATCGCCTCTTGATCAAAATTTCCAATCAGTCAACTCCAAAATTTCAGCAATCAAAAATTTCCAACTCCCAAATTAATTATTCCCTTCACCATAAAAGTGAAAAAAAAATCATAGCTGTTTTTGTTTTCTATTCCCACCCGAAATAAAATGAATTCAATGTTTCCACTGGCGAATCAATAGCATCAGACGCACAAATTACTAATGAGAAAATCAATAACCTCATGCCACCAAAAATGCCCCACAAATATCCCCACTAACGACACGCTAATTAATACATTCGATCGATTGAAAAAAAGTTTAAATAAAATAACGACATCCGAAAACGTGAAAGACCCCTGAAAAATCGTGGGAGCAATACGTACAAGTGGCCAATTTACTTGAAAGTTCAATGAACACAAAATCGCCATGATGAATCCCAACAAAATGTCCAAAAACCCATTCCGCCAACGCTACCCAAGCCCCAAACGCCAAAAAAAAATCGCAATTCACTCACCATCGCCATTGTACCGTTCATTGTTCCGTGGTATTCACAGAAAATCCTTGGTGAGGAGAACAAATCACTTTTTTGGAGTTTATTATGCACAAACAACTGTTTTTTCAACACTAGACAACGTTTAGCGTTTACGCCGCAGTTAAAATGGTGGGAGGACTTCGGAGTTTCTCGGGGCTCGCCGGAAGTTACCGAGGGTTCAAATTCACCTCCCAATCCCCCTCCGGCCGCTCCGCAATTCCAAAAACTCAAAGACTAACTCAAAAATAAATCCGGATGATTTTTAAAGTCCAAAAAAGCGGTATAAATCATGTTCAATTTATTTTTTCACGTCAAAAATGAATTTCAATTTGACTCCAGTAGTAGCACGTCTCAAAACATGTGCCACTGAGTGCCAGGTTAACTTCAAAAGTGCCGAACGTGTTGAGGACGCAGAACCATAATTAACGATGGCTAATCAAGGATACCAAGTCCAGAAAATTAACGAGGAAAAGGTAAACATTTTTGTTTACTTAAATTAATTGAAACAATCTTGCGGGGGAGTGAAATAAAACTGAGTTTGTTAAATCCTCAGTATCTTATGATCAAATGGAGCGATTTGAACCAGTCAGGGCTCCTTTCAAAGCGTGAAAAAATACCTTTAAAATGAAAACAAAATCTTGAAATTTCACTCTGCGGATCTTGAGTTATTCACTACTAAAAACGTTCAGTTGTGGAAGAAAAAGAAAAAATAACTCTTTAGTGAATCATGAAATATCTCAAGATTGCTAGAGTGAAATTGAAAAAAAAAATTGATTTTGGAGGTACTTTTTCAAGCTTTAAAATGAGCACTGACTCGTCCAAATCGCATCATTTGTTCGGGAGATATTGATAATTTAAGAGGGTACCCTTTACCTCACCCACAATTGTTCCTTTTTTCTTGAAGGGTAAGGGTCTCGTAGCACTTCGACACTTCAAAGAAGGCGAAATAATCCTCGAGGAGAAACCAGTGGTCTGTTGTCAATTCTCCTGGAACCAGGATTATCGATACCTGGCCTGCGACAACTGCCTGACGCCTCTGGAGGATGCTGAGGAGAATGCCAGAAGACTTTCTGGAAAGAACGACCTGGTTCTCGTCTGTTCCGATTGCTGTGAGACTCAGAAAGATTTAATAACTGAATGCCCAGCCTGTGGAGTAAAATACTGCAGTAATGAGTGTCTCACTGAGGCCTCCCAGAAGTAAATTAACGAAGTGACACGTTACGAAAAAAATTCGTAGAAAAAATTAACGAATTCGATAGAGAATTCTATTGAATTCTCTATTAAATTTACTTGGTTTAAAAACGTATTCTATTGAAATATTTTCTATAGAAATTCCTCAGCTATAATTTTCTGACTTTTTTCGTTTGATTTTTTTTTTATGAAAAGAGGACAAAAATAGTAGAAAAGCTTGGAAAATTCACGTGAAGGAATTCCTACAGTGAATATCTCAATAAAAAAATTCTGTACAAAGATAGAATATTTTATATTTTATAATTATATTGGACATTTCTCTTGAGAAAACCGTATAGAATTCTCCAGTTGTTTCTAAGATTTTTTTCGTGCATTCATTATTCTTGCAGGACCTGAGGTCATTATTTAATTCCTTGGATTGTTCATAGATACCACAAGACCCTCTGTCTCCAGTCCAGGGAGAAAAACGAGAATCATCCACTGGTGCAATTGAAGGAGACTTGGAAGCAGATGCATTATCCCCCTGAGACAGCCACGATAATGCTTCTTGCTAGAATGGTTGCTTTTGTCAATCAGGCTGAGGACAAAGCTTCTGCTCTTTCAATTTTCAATCAATTCTGTCACAGGACTGTTAACGAGGATCAGGAGATTGCGCACAATCTCCTGGGGGAGAAGTTCGTCGGGCAGATCGATGTTCTCAGGCAGATGATGGAGAGTGCTTTGGATAAAGAAAATGCTCCTTATGTGAGTTTCAGAAAATTCCTATTGTTGGTGAATTTTGGATAAATATTGGTCGTATCCTAGAAGGGAAGACGTAATGGCGTAGTGTACTTTAGGGCAATGTTTACCATGTTTATTTATTCATGGCTTCGGGCAGAATAGCCCATCGAAGCCGATAACTGCACAAAGTACAAAATCAATATAAAATCATTCATTTCAAAAGAAAAACATTTTGTTTTTAGGATTTTTCAAAAACGAAAGGACTTGGCGTTCTAAATCGAACTGCATTCAATCCTTCAGCAAATTTATGTTTTCAGCTACTTGAGAGTGCTCAGAGCTAGCTAAAATCCACATCATTTTTGCTTCTAAATTGAAGTTTTGTAATCGTTCGAATTTAAGTTTCCAATTTTTTGTTTTAGGATAACTAAATCTGGTCTAAAAAGTACGTTTTCTTTATCGAAGTTATTTTATAAGGGATCAATCGAGTTTCATGATTTTTTTCATGAATATCGACTTTAATAAGCTGTATATATTGACACCAATTAAAATTCTAATTTTCATACATATTCGAAAAAATTGATATTTTTCAAAAAATCGATTTTTTAACGATCACTCAAAAAATTGTCATCAACCTCTGACTGAATCTGGTTAAACTCTGGCTAAATCCTGAATGAATCCTGATTAAATCTCGGCTATACACTGATTAAACCTTAATTGAACCTTGATTAAATCCGGACTGAAAATGGATTTGAGTCTTGAGAGGGTCTGAATGTAGAATTGATAGAACGAAATAATACGCAAAATTTTGATGACAGTTCAATTGATGATAGTACTATGACATGAAAAAATAGAAGAGAATAGTGAAATAAGAATATCAAAATAGAAAACCCATTCGGAAACGAATTGCCAATTTATTAGCAACAATTAGTATACTGATTTACCAAAAAACTGCAATTGCCCATTTGGTTAGCTAAAATCCACAGTAGACAGTGTCATGATCCACTACTTTTTCATTTCAGTGGTTCACACCTGATGGTTTCAGAAGTCTGTTAGCCCTAGTGGGAACAAATGGACAGGGAATAGGAACAAGTGCATTCAGTCGATGGGTGAAGAACGTTTCAGCTCTGGAGATGCCTCAGGACATGAGAATGCGGATCGACAAATTGATCGACAGGGTTTACGATGACATGGACGAGGGTAAATACTTCATAAAATATCATAGAGCCGTAAAACCGTCTTCAGTCCATGAAAATTCCTCGTTTTGTATTTTCAGTCGTTGGGACATTCTTGAATAACGAAGGCTCAGGACTCTACACCCTCCAATCTTCGATAAACCACAGCTGTTCCCCAAATGCAATTGTCGAATTTCCCTACTCCAACAGCACTCTAGTCGTAAAAAGCCTTCGGGACATTCAACCGGGCGAGGAAATTTGCATTGGATATCTCGACGAATGTGAACTAGAACGCAGTAGAGTGTCAAGACAAAAAATGCTCAGTTCCCTATACTTATTTGTGTGTCGTTGTGACAAGTGTCTGCAGCAGGCTGATGACAATGATGTCACGTCTGAGGAAGATGTTTGCGATGGCATGTCAGATAGTGAGTAAAACAGTAAGAGTCACTGACTGCAACATTATGTGGAATATTTTGTACTCTCAAAACGTTGATTTCTCATTTTTACTAATGTCATTTATTTCCTAAAAAGTACCTCAATAAACATTCAACATATCTCGAAATACATTTACAGAATAAATAAATCTGCTTTGTATTCCTGTACAATTCGTTAACCATTCATCAGCATTATAATTATTACAATTGAAAAATCAATTATACACATGCATATCACTGGAAGATAGTCTCACAGTTCGTCACTCATAATAATTTTTAGTTTTGTTTGTTCAAAATCACGTCACGTGATGACTACTTAGGCTAAAGTTACAATGTTAATACATTCTTCCCTGGTTGAATGAGATTCTAACGTAGCGCAGGTCACTTTACTTATTTTTGATGAGTTTAAGATGATTGCGATGATATGTCGGATGGTGAGTAAAGCTGTAAGAGTTACAGTGACTCCTTCATCATGGGGAATATTTAGGATCTAAAGAAAAACTATTTCCTCTATTTCGTTATTGAATAGAGTCTCAAGCTGTTAATTTTGAATTTTGACCGTTTCTTTTTTCAATTCGGCAGAATATTTTATACTCTCCAAACGTTGATTTCTCATTTTTACTAATGTCATTTATGTCATTTATTTCATTTATTTATTTCACTTATTTCATTTATTTTTAATAAATCTGTTTGGCATTCCTGTACAATTCGTCAACCACTCATCATTACACTTACTACAATTAAAAAATCAATGAGTCACGTGCATATCACTGGAAGCTAGTCTCACAGTTCGTGACTCATAATTTTTAGTTTTGTTTGTTCAAAATCACGTCACGTGATGACTACTTGAGCTAAAGTTTCACTGTTAATTGATTCTTCCCAGCGACCATTAGTTTGGTAACGTAGTTTGGCAGTGGACTAACGAATATCCTCTTCTCGTATAGTCTGCGAAGACTTCCGGCCACATCGTGGCTCTTGAAGTCCCATGCTACTTTGATTTTCTCGTTGGGAAGGGCAGCAGCTATTTCTCTATCAGCCCAGGATGCTTCTGTCCCGGTAATTTCTAAAACGTCGATCGTTGGGGGCTCGTTACCAAAACATTTTGATATGTATTCTCTTCTTTGTTTGTGTTGTCTAAAATCTGTGCCTGTTGCTCTGAAAATCAATTGAAGGATTGACTATGGATTCACAATAATCAATTTTTAATGATTATTTCAACGTAATTGGACTCTCTAAGACTGGGGAGGTGCATTTCATATAAAAAAATTCTATTTTCACCAAGTAATGAATAAATTTCAATAAATCGTGTTTCCATTCTAATTAATTGAATCGTTCGTCAACTTTTAGTGTAAAAATTTTCATAATTCCGAATTTATTTTTAATCATTCAAGTCAATTCATAATCATTTCGACAATTCTCTAATGATTGTTAATTATTCATGGGTTAAAAAATCAATATCAATTAATTAATGACGGAATAGAATTATTGTTCTCACAGAACACTAATCTGATAATTCAAGATTAAAATTATTATTTATTATTAAAAGAGACTCACTTGACAATGGGTTCGAAGTCCTTATACATTGGAGAATTGCACAAATTCCCAAACTGAACAACTCCCTGTTTCTTCAACTCCAGCATTTTACTAAGAGACTTCAAGTCCCTCCCCATGAGTTTGAGTTTCTTGCAGCTCTCGTATCCCAGCCCCTCAACAATCGCCTGTAAAAATTCTTTAGTCGCCCCCTTCTTCGCGCAGAAGAAGTAGCCATGCCTCAGGAACAGGGCGAAGTACACTGGCAGGAGTCTTCTGGACCTCTTCTTCTGGGACATGGAGACGAAAGTGATCCCCTGGTGCGTCACAATGTTGATCATCATGTCCATCTGGAGTATTTGAAACGTCTGAGCCATTCTGTCCTGCATTTCTCTGTTGGGAATTAATTTCTGGGATGTCGTGTTGCCCTGCAGCTCGTAACCGTACCAAACCTTTTTTCCATGGTGTCTGCTTACGTCTGAAAAAAAATAATTGCGTTAAATATTTCTCTTTGCGAAGAATTTTCAAAAATAATTAGGAAAGACCCAGAGAAATTATTTATTTGAGTGCAATAAATGACTTTATGCAACTTGATTTCAATATTTATATTTATTTACATCAAATTACTAGTTTTTTGAAAATATAAACAAATATTTTTTTTCATCTAAATGAATATTTTAGTAGTTGAAAGTGCAATTATTGTTTAGACGACGAGAGAACCTAATTTATAAAGTGAAATATTCCTTTTATTTAAATTTTCTGTAAATTGTTCATTCCATAATTGAATATTTATTTGAAATGAAAAATGAATCATTTGTTTCACAAAATTGGAGCATTGTCATTGAAAAAAAAAAGAGTTTATCAATTTCAAATTTAAAAATATAACTGAAGTGAATAGAGCAATTTCAAGCAAAGATTTTTATTAAATTCTATGGGTTATTTTTTACAGAGAAAACAAAAGTAAAAAAACCTCAACAAGAAATTCAAGTCTAAATTTTTTATTTACTCACCAATCACTTCCAGAACAGCCAGCCTATTCTTCAGCTCCTTATCATCGATTTTATGTCTCTATAAATTCATCAAAACGATAATATCTGATTATTTTATGTCCCCAGAATGTTGAAAAGATGCATGAAAATATTAGACTCACAATAATCATCTGCTCGATGATCCTGAGTGCACCAGCAGTCGTGAAACTCTCATGATTCCTAATAAGACTCTTTCTAACATCATTCCACGAAATTTCCGGGAAATGTGCTAGCACTGACTCCTCGAGCTCCTCAAACTTGAATTTTTTAATCGTCGTACTCAGTTGATGCTTAATATTCAAAGCCGCTGCAATTTAAATAAACAATTCAATGAGCAACAGCTGGTAAACATTCAAAAGACCGTTGACACGTAACCTCCAAGCCGCTCAATTTTGCCCCCACACACCGACAAAATCCGTTAAAACTCACCGGCAGGCATCTCTGCGGGTCACACGAAGTTGCCCTAAAACTCGATAACTCACATTTATGATGAAAAAAACATGAAGAACTCGATAAATTCATAAAAAAGATTTAAATATTCGTGTACACCCATTGAAGGCCGAACCAAGCGCAAGCGCAGAGCTTTGGGCGGCACAATTTCATTACTTTCATTGTTTCTTCCAGATACGGTAAATTCCCCAGAAACTAGCGATGTTAATGTTGGCAAGAGTTTGTGCGGTCCTAGGCTGATTTCGAAATCAACTACCGTAGCTGCGGTCACGCAAAATTGAAGCGGGTTGCATTTGGAGAAAGTAAAAAATATACATGTTTTTTTTTTCACCTGGGGCCAAAATGTACTACCTTAAATTTTTTTAGGGGGAGAGTCGACTTTCGCCAAAATCGAATTTTTTAGCCGGGTGAACGTCGATTCCAACTATTTAAGCGACGGGCTATTCAGAACTCTCAAAAGTATGTGGAAAAAGTGAAAACTAAAAAAATTTTTTTTTCACCGGAGGCCAAAGTGGTAGATCTTCGATTTTTTCAGGGGGAAAGTCGGTCAAAGGGTCACAAGCGTCACGAGGGCCAAAGGGTCAGATCTCGGATTTTTCCAGGAGGAAAGTCGACTTTCGCCAAAATCGAATTTTTTAGCCGAGTGAACGTTGATTCCAACTATTTAAGCGACGGGCTATTCAGAACTCTCAAAAGTATGTGGAAAAAGTGAAAACTGAAAAAGTTTTTTTTTTGAGATTTTCAAAGGGTCAAATTTTCGGTTTTGCCAGGGGGAAAGTCGACTTTCGCCAAAATCGAATTTTTTAGCCGGGTGAACGTTGATTCCAACTATTTAAGCGACGGGCTATTCAGAACTCTCAAAAATAAATGGAAAAAGTGAAAACTGAAAAAAAAATTTTATAAACATCAAACCTCCAACTCCCTTCATTATTTAAATCTGGTGTCCATATTGCCCCACCCCCTCTCCTAAGGAAAAGAATAAGAAGCTCCCCCAAGTGGACATTTGGAGCAGTCGAACTGTCAACAACGTGCTCCAAAGGTCACGCAAGGAGATATTTACTTGTAAATGAAGAAGTTTTTTTAGTTTTCGGAGTAAATCAAGATGACACCCTCCGAATCAAGTGGTTGTGGACAGTTGAGGGGCGATGACACCTCCGGAGGTTCTGTCGCGACTGAGGAGATGCTGGAGGTTGAGGGGAAATATCAACTTGATAGGTGTGTGGAGTGGATCACAGCACGTGCGGCTGACAAGGTGAGATAAAAAATCGTTTTTTTGGAGTTCTTAGGGTTAAGGGAATTTTGAGGACATTGAAGCGAATTTCGGTGTTCTTTGGGGTCTTGGGGGGTCCAGGGGCTTAGAGGTTACTGGACGCCATTCAGACTGAAGGGGAATGCACGTACACCAGTGGGGGTGTAGATAAAGTGACCTGAAATGACCTCGGTGATTCTACTGAACTCTGATAATTATTGTATAATTTTAATCAATCTTGTTGGAATTTTATTCGTTGGAAAATCGTTTTCAAAAGAAAATTACTCGAGATGACTGAGTGGAATTTGATAATTTATATTTGTTATGGTTCCAATAATTCTCATTAGGTTTCAATTATGACAATTATATTGCTCTAGAAGATGATCATGTTAGTTATGACCTTGAGTGAACTCCCTCAATGATTATAACCATTAAAAAATTAATCGAAATTCTTCCCTCTAGAAAATAAGAACTTGAGGAAAAATGAATAATCATTGGAGGAATTCGCCCAAGGTCATGTGTAACATAGTCATCCTCTAGAACAACATGATTGTCATAATTGAAACCTGATCAGGCTCGCCTGGGAATGACTCCATTGGAGAAACACGCTTTCGAAAAAATAAATGCTTCTCTGAAGTAGATGAACATTTGGCCAAAATAATTTTTTTCTCAGTGTATCTTCTGACTGAGAATAATGGCTGTAAATTAATCTCTTCCAGGTTTGTCTGCAATTTCCGGACTCCTGCCTCCAGGACTCTGCGAGGATAGCGCTTCGTTTCGAAGAACTCCTGAACAAAAAAGTCTACATCCTCGGGGACACAAGCTGCGGCAGTTGCTGCATCGACGAAGTAGCTGCCAATCACATAAACGCCGATGCAATCGTGCACTTTGGTCACGCCTGCCTGAACCCAACGACACGACTCCCAGTCTTCCACATTCTCCCCAAAAAGGACATCAACATTTCAGCTCTAATTTCCCAGTTTGAGAATTCCTTTCCAGACCCTGACGAGAAGATCCTCCTCTTCTACGACGTCTCCCACTCCCACCAGGTCCAAGGGATCTGGGAATCACTGACAAAAAAATACAAAAAACTCGTTCTAACGACTCTAAACTCCACCTCAAACATCGAATTCGTGGATACGAAGACCTCCACAAGTCCAATAATATCTGGTCGCTGTTGGAATGTCGAGAATGGCTACAAGACCGAAGAGTACACAGCTGTATTCATCGGTGAAAACAACAGGACCCTCGCCTCTCTAGCCATGAGCATCCCCACGAAGTTGTGGTACCACACATCAGGCCCTGAAATCACGAAATTCGATGCTGTCTCGAGCCCTTGGCTCAAACGCAGAAGGTACTTGGTAGAAAAGTTAAAAGACGCCAAGACTGTGGGGATAGTTGTTGCAACTTTAGGAATAAAAAATTATCTCGAGGCTCTTTCATCGATTAAACAAATACTGAAGAGGAAGAAGAAGAAATCTTACATATTCAGTATTGGAAAGATTAATCCAGCAAAGTTGGCGAATTTTCCAGAGGTGAGATCTCCTAAATGATATAATGACAACCATTAAATTCAATTATTACATAATAATAATCCAATAAAATTTTTGGTCTCCAATTCTCAATATCTGTCATTTATTCTGTGCATTCTATCAAAAGACAATGGTAGGAATCGAATTTATGGGTATTCTTCCATTATTCGATAAATTATATCGATTTTGAAAATGTAATGTTAAATTATTAAGTAGTCAATTAGTTAATATCCCTTTTAAATTTTAATTATTGAAGAAATCATTTAATGTAAATAGTCAAATTTTGAATTATTCAGTAAGCAGTAATCGAGGTAGGAAGATTGACGATTATTTGGATAATCGGGAAATTATTTCAATGGATTAAATGGATTAAATTATTTTAATGGATCAAAATAACTTTTTTCGTATGCAGGTGGATGCCTTCGTCGTGATAGCATGTCCAGAAAGTGATATATTCGATTCAAAAGATTATTTCAAGCCCCTGCTAACACCTTTTGAAGTAGAACTGGCCTTCAACAGCTCCAGAGACTTCTCCACCCACTACTGCCTCGATTTTCGACAGATCCTCCCTGGAGGATCGAATTTCGTCGAGTTCGAGGCTTCAGAGGGCCCAGACCTGTCTCTAATCTCCAATGGAATAAGAACAGACGAACCTGAGGTTTCTACTGAAACGATGTCTGCGTTGGCTTGTAAAGACGATGGAACAGTGGCTATTGGCAAAGCTGGGGCTAATTTTTTGGTGAACAGATCCTGGCAGGGACTCGAGCAGAGAATAGGGGAGGACGATGTCAAAGTCGCTGAGAAGGGCCGATGTGGACTGCCTGTTAATTACGAGAACGAACCAATTCACAAAACTTGATCAATTGGAGTTCAACTGAATTAATTGATTAATGTGAATTGAATTAATTTATTTGTACAATTACATGATTTTAATAAAACATTTTTCTATTTGTTAGAGACATTTGATTCGAGGTATTCTTCATGTGTACAACGATCAGACATTCATTAATTACAAAATATTCAGTTTAGTTTCTACAGAAAAATGCACAAATATCGCAGTTCATTGAATCAGCACCAACTGAGGAATGTAAATTAATAAAAAGGAAGGATATGGTAACATGGACAGTTAATTTTTAATCTAAGGCCCGGGTGGATTACCTTGCGAACGTGTTCTTGGTTGTTTTTTTTATTTTGATAATCTGAAATGTTCTTCAATTGCCATTCAGTTTTACATAGTCCTGGAGTCTTCAAAAATTATGATTGTACAATAAAAAAAACGTTGAAAAAAGCAGAACATTTTAAAGGGCGTTTTTGAATAATATTGGGAAATAAACCCAATAGGGAGAAAATTGCAAATTAATAATTTGATGTATCTAATGATTGTTAGGTCGTCATTTGTTACAGTAGTCAATGGCCGTCAGATCGTTAGTCACCATGATGAATCATCCATTCACTATTTCCTCTCTATCGGGCTTATTTTCCTAATCTTTGTTAAAAATGCTCTTTGAAAATCTTCTGTTTTTTTCTACTTTTTTTGATTGTACAGTCATAATTTTTAGGGACACCTACGTGATGTAAAATCCAATGGAAATTGTGATATATTTTAGATTGTGAAAATGGTAAAACAATCGAGATAACGTTCGAAGGATAATCCATCCGGTCCTCAAAGAATTGAAATATTAGCAAATCATTGAGTTAATTCATTCGTTAACATTATAAAAAAATTAATTGTCCATTTTATAGCTTCCTCAACTATTTTTCAACAAATTCACATTAATTCTGGGCCCTTAGGGTCTCTGGAGAGCACTCCCTTTATCCTCAACTCTGCCTGGGCCTCTTCAATTTGCTGGAAAATGAGAAAATAGCATCAAACATGAAATCATCGATGAGCAAATCTGGAGGCTTACAAAATTTGCATTATATTATTACCCTCTTGAGCTGTTTAGCAGCTTCCTCGCAATTATTGAACGTAAACGTCCTGTAGAGTACTACACTAGCTGCATACAGTGCAAAAATAAATAGCAGAAAAAAGGGGAGATAAAGAATGAATTGGTAATTGTTGGAAACCCACGGGGAATTGAGCTGTCCTGTGATGGCAGCTGTCCAGGAGCCCATGAAGAGGACGAGGCAAAATAACCACTCCATCAACTTTGTCATCTGTTCAATAAGAAATAAGCAACAAATATTCATGTTTTCACAATGGAATAAATCAGAATTCTTTACGAAGAAAATTAGTTACCTCGAGTTTTTCTTTCCTGATTTCTCAATTAATTCACTAGTTTCAGGTCTGTTATTTTATTGGATATTCGTGGCAATGTTGTCAATGTTGTTGACGGAAATGACACTTAACCCTAAAAATCATGGACATACAGCCGGCAAATAAATAATCAATTTCCGGATGCAACGAATTCCAATCGTTTAGGAATAATTTGGGATAGTTTAGGAATGCAATTTTATAGTTTACAAACCAATATTTTATTTATAATTAAATACTTTTCATATGGAGTGTAGTGCCGAGCTGGGGAGGAGAGGAGGAGATATTCTTTTATCTTCGTTTCTAGTCCGCGGACGCGTAATTCCTTTTTCTATCTCTTTTTTGCCCCAAAATCTTTAATAAACAGCTATTTATTTATTAAAAATACCCATTCTTTACAATATCATTTGCGCGGGAAAACAAGTCGTCAGCTCGAAGTTCAAACTGGAAAACTTCATGAGAAATGACGAAGCAGAAACCACCAAAGGACTTTTTTTTTGAGAAAATTGTCTCGTGTACCCTCATCTATCTTTACAGTTTTCTAAAAAAATATTCGTTTTCGAGAAAAGATATAAAACTTTTTAAAATCGAATCTACGTTATTTTGTCAATTTTTTAAACAAAAAACTGCGCGACGCTAGCAACGATATCTACACCAAAACAAAAGCGATCCATCAGTCATTGAAGCCTCAGCAGTGATTGCATCGCTCCCTGATCAATTGTTAGAAGTCTCTAAACTTATCCTCCACCATTTGGATCCTCAAGAATCTCGCCACGAGGATGTCGACGAGAGCGAGCAGCAGATCCGAGAAAAAGACGGAGAAGCCCTCGAGAATTATTCCCCAGGCTGACAAGAAGAAGAGAAAACGCAAGAGGAAGGAGACGTACTCCACCTACATCTTCAAGGTCCTCCGGCAGGTCCAGCCGGACATCGGTGTGTCCTCGAAGGCGATGAGCATCATGAATAGCTTCGTGAACGACATCTTCGAGAGGATCGCCACCGAGTCCTCTCGTCTCGTCCACTACAACAAGCGACACACCATCACCTCGAGGGAGATTCAGACAGCCGTGCGCCTGCTTTTACCGGGAGAATTGTCCAAGCACGCGGTCAGCGAGGGGACCAAGGCCGTCTCCAAGTACAGGGCGTCTAAGTAACCCCCGGAGACATCCTCCAACGATCTTGGATCTATTCTCACTGATCCGTTTCTCTCGACCAATAAATTCTTCCAAATTCCGAACGTATGAGATGATTAATTGATAACATGAAAAAATAAAACAAAATGAAATAAAATGACATGAAAATATTTAGGGAGAGGCTGGGGCAAAATGAGGGTCTCCTAATCATAAAATAACGAGATTATCCCTTCATCATGCAAATGGCGCTTCATTAACAAAAATGGTGGCATCCATTCGGAAGATTAGCTATTGATTTGACAATTTCATTTTGTCCCATTCCGTTATTCATTCATTTCAATTGAAATTGTTTTGCACATCAAGTCAATCAATTTTTCGAGAAATAATTAGGGGAGGGTGGGGCAATATGGACACCGGATTTGAATAATGAGTTGAATTGGATGAAATTTACTCTTCTGACTTCATTTGAAGTTTATAAAAACGAACACATTGTCATAAGACAATGTTCAGACAATGTTTGTTTCGTCCCTCAGTATTTAATTTCAAACAAATCCTTCCTTCGCATTCTGCAAGATGTCGTCGGTCCTCCCAATTTCGTCGAGATATTTCCACCCAGATGTCAGCACGGATTTCATCCGACAACTGGCAACAAACTCGAAAGGAATTCCACCCCTCCCACGGTTTACCGAGTTTTCACTATGGAATTGTTGAGTGTCCAGTGCCTTATTGCAGTCCTAAAACCCCAATTACCCTCGATAATAATCTATAATGCAACTGCAGACCGCAATTAACTCCTCGTGTGCGTCCCCCACTCATCGAACCCCGAACCAGTGCACCTGAACGTGGATTTCCCTTTCCAAAACATCTCGATAAACAGAACTTTAAGAGAGCAAAACCATCGTGCAGCAAAAAATGCACCACAACAGGAGAAAGAAGAAGCGAATAAACTACGGGGTGAGGGCTGTGGAGCTGATGAGAGGCTCCAAGGGTTTTGGTTTCACAATTTCGGGTCAACAGCCTTGCATTCTGAGCTGCATTGTGGCAGGCAGTCCAGCGGAGATAGCTGGGCTGCGTGCAGGTGACTATCTGGTCGCTGTCAACGGCCACAACGTGGGGAAAGCCCCTCACGACGATGTGGTTCGTCTGATAGGGCACTCCAAGGGGATCCTGAGGCTCCAAATAGCCGAGAACTACTACTCAGACTCCTCGGACGAGGAGGGACCTGCGGCCTCGCGATCAAAACCCAAATATTCCCACAAACAGCGAAATTCCAGTGCTGTACCTGCGGCCTCGGGTGCACCTGCGGGACAGTTGCAGTGCAGAGTGGCCAAGGTTGTCAGGGATCTCCAGAGTGGTGCCATGTTCAGTGGAAGTGGAGAGGGCGAGAGGGTGGTGCAGAGCAAAATCATGTGTGGGCAGAATGGCCTCTACCATCGGTGGAATATGGCCAGTGCTCCACCACTGCCACCACCTCCACATTCCCACAAAAGGGATGCTGAGAAAATTGTGCACAGGACGGTAGTGGGCTACCTGGGGACCATTGATATACCTAATCAACTGCATCCCTCGACGATGATGCAGGTGAGTTTGGACTTTCACTCAGGGATCCCCATCAATATTAAATTTCTGTAATATTACGAGGATTTCACGTAATAAAAATAGTATAAACATTTTCTATAGGGGAGGTTGGGGTAAAACGGACACTTGATTTTTTTTTTAATCTTAATGAGGGGTTGAAATATTGATGAAATTTAGTCTTTTTTTTCAATACAAAGAACGATTCTTTCTCTTTGTAACGAGGCTGAACTGAGCTCAATTGATAAATTTGGTTCTGAGTTATGGACAATTTAAAAAAAGTCTAAAGTGTCCATTTCACCACATCGTCCCCTACGGATTGAGTATAGAAATTCTATAGGATTTTCGTGTATGATATTCGGATATTTCTATACGAATTATTTCTATACATGAATTTTTGTTTTCATACGAAAGATGTCTAAACGCTCCATAGAGAAAAACGTAGAGAAATGTCGCAACTCCATACGAAATGTTTCTATACATATGGCAGTGGGTCGTATAGGATCAAACCTATAGAAATCGTATAGAAATAATTTGTATAAAAAATATCCGTATAGAAATATCCGAATATCATATACGAAAATCCTATAGAAATTCTATACGCAATCCGTATAGAAAATTTCTATACGATTTTTTCATACGTGTTGACCCTTACATTATTGAAAGTATAAAATATGATTCAATTTTTCAAATAATATTATATTAATAATCTGATTTTTTACGAATAATGAAATATTTAAAATTTGTTAATATGAAACTGTAAATTTATTACTAAGTCTATAATTCAAATTTCTTGAAAGGGGATTTTCGATTATACAAGTAAAGGTCAATCTTCCTATCTCAAATTATTGATTGATAAAATAGTTAGAAATTTGAATATTTGAATTGATGATACTTAGGTACTTAAAAAATTTCAAGGGTGATGTTATCTATTTAAGGGCTACAAAAGTAATCGTAATGAAATATTTAAAATTTGGCTATCCCTGCTTTTACTACACTGAGAAAGAAAAATTACTTCTGCCATGTAAATTTACTGGCTGTTATTTTACTGGCACGTCTATTCAACTAGGCGACATTTTAGCCAAAATTTTCAACTAAAAAAAAAATACAATTTGAAAAAAAGACTATTCCATCCATTCATTAGCAAACAATTAAAGAAAAACTTTGCCACACACATAGGGGAGCATGGGGCAAAATGAAACACGGGGCAAAATGAAACAGTGGGAAAATCTCGTCATCTAAAGGAGATAGGACATTTTTGAAGAGGACCTTTTTTGTAGCTTGTAAAATTCTCTACAAAAAAGGTTTCCATGAAAATCGTCCTATCTCCCTTAGATCACAAGATTTTCATGCTGTTTCATTTTGCCCCGTGTTTCATTTTGCCCCACCGTCCCCTATGTACGGACACGGTCTAAAAATTTCATTTTCAGATTTTTTGGATCATAATGAGTCGATATAACAGAAAAAATCCAGAATTTAAATTTGAACGATTGCAGTGTTTCCATTCGGGTGCGAAAAACCTCCTGTTCAAAAATTACCTACAAAATCAAAAGATCCAAAGCTTCTCGATTCAAATATTTCAGCATGTTACTGACGAATGGGTCTGGAGGATGGAATTCTCGCCACTTCCTCAATAATGAATGAACGAAATCCCCTTTGTAATTCCAGGTCCTCCGAAAATGCATAAAGCGTTTAAAAGCCGAGAAACGCACCCCAACAACAGTCCTCCTGACAATTCACGTGGCCAACATAAAGTTGACAAATTCAGAGAACAAGATAATTGCGGAATATCCCTCTCACCGAATAGTCTTCTGCAACTCGTTCTCCGAGCAGGACAAGCAATACTTCGGTATCGTGACAAAGTCAGCTAATCATACCGACGAGATAGTCTCGAATTCGTGCCACGTGTTCACCATCTACTACAAACTGATAGAGCATGCAGTTCACCTGAGTACCTGCAACATCTTTGGATTCACGTGTACGAAGACATCTGAGCTGACAGTTTGTCAGGAGTTTCCTGACAGTTGCAACGGTCTGATAGGTGCCATTCAGACCCTCTACATAACAGACACAACAGACTCAGAGGCCAATCCCTTCAACGAGAGCAACAGGAGACAGAGGAGAGAGGCTGTCTCCCCCCAGCCCTCGAACCTCAGCACATCAACTGCTCACTCTTCGAACAGTGACTCTGGAATTGGCTTCAAGGATGAATTTGGCAGCCACTACTCGGTGACAGAGCGCAATGTGAACCTCGATTATTCGCAGAGAAGACCGCCAATGCCAGCAGCAAACTCTCGATTAACCGTTCGTGCAACGCAGGACTCACAAAATGAACGTAGAGTGGAGAATGGGGATGGGGGCACGAGGGGTGGAGGGGACGTCACCTGCCCCGGACCATCTGCCACTCTTACAATGACCAAACTCGACGCCTCGTCAGTCGGCTCGTCCACATTTTCACGTACCATTGCTGGGATGCTACACACTGTCGACGCAGACGACATGGAGTTTTGTGATAACGATGCGGGTGATAAACTTAGTCCTAAGGTTTTCAATGTCACGAAGGCACTGGTGCACAGTATGGAGGATCTCAAGAATGAGGGGGAGACGGTGGATGTCTTCGCCAAGCCTGCCGATGTGAGACCCTGGGGGAGTCTGCAGGAGATCAGAAATGTCGGAGGGTTCCAATCCAATTCTTCGGTGAGTTCATTGTTGAGTTTATTGTTTAATGGTTTTGAGGAGACGGTCAAGGGAGACTACTGTGAGCTTCAAAAGTCCCGGGCTGTTGGAGTGAGATTTCTCATACATTGAAGATCGATTAGATACGTCGAAAAACGAACAACTAGCGCGGAAAAATTCATTGTTTTTTGTTAGTTTGTCCTGCTGACGATTGAAATGTTGAAAATAGTCCAGGGCTTCCAATTTTCGAGCTACAAATTTTTTTTTAATTTTTGAAAAAATGGGTGCAATACATAGTTAATTTCGTTTTTACAAAAATAAATTACACCATTCATGTTAAATGGGTGGAAAAATGTTTCTGGAAGAATTGAGAATATATTTTCAATATTTTAGAGGTAATTTTTATTTTATTGGGAATTTTATGAGCTACGATGATGTTTATTGACATTTACTCCTGATATTTGGAGCTCACGAGAGTTTCATCATTAATATAGTTGTCTTTTAAAAGGTTAATTTCAAAATTTTCATCAATTGTGGAAAACTAATTGAATGATTGTATCGATAACGAGTGGTTTTAGGGGGAAATGTCAGAAGGGTTTTTAAGGGAATTTCCAGCATCTAAACATATCCAAAACGCTTTGTCTAATTATCTTAATAAGAAGTAATTTTAATTACCGTTGCTTTTTTTATTTTGATAATCTGAAATGATTTCCAATTGCTATTCAGTTTTACATAGCCCTGGAATTTCTAAAAATTATGAATGTGCAATCACAAAAACGTTGAAAAAAAGCTGAACATTTTCAAAGAGCGTTTTTGAATAATATTGGAAAATAAACCCAATAGGGAGAAAATTGCAAATTTATAATTTGATGTATCTAATGGCTATTGGGTCGCTGTTTGTCACAGTAGTCAATGGCTGTCAGATCGTTAGTTACCGTGATAAATTATCCATTCACTATTTCCTCTATCGGGCTTATTCCTTAATCTTTATTAAAAACGCTCTTTGAAAATGTTCATTTTTTTTTTCACTTTTTTTTACTGTACAATGATAATTTTTAGGGACTTCCGCGCGATGTATAATCCAATGAAAATTGTGATATTTTACATTATGAAGATGGAAGAACAATCGACATAACGTTCGAAAGATAATCTACCCGGGCCTTAAGGGGAAACGGAACCCCTGCGTATATATTAATCTTTAGAATTGTGTTTTCTCCTGCAATTATTATTTTTTATTCATTAAAATACTTCATTGACTCAACAATGCGATAATCGAGTCGATAAAGTAATTTCGTAGATAGAAATGAATAATTGTAGGAGAAAACACAATTCTAAGATTTGATGTCGACAAAGGGGTTCCGTCTCCCCTTAAAGAAAAATGTCATATAGACTTCCGCAACCCAAAACGATAATTCCATAAATTATCAAATTTCTGTTACTCCATCCTAACAAGCCCTTGCCACCCGAGAAAAACCCTCCCCCCTTTAATTTTCCTTGGACGAAAAGAAAATAATCAACTCTCCCCTTGACATTTCCCACCAAAACCCTTCAAATCTAGCATTCATTTACTCCAGAAAAAACTTCAGCACAAAAACAATCCTCTGTCGGAGGATTTCTTTTCCGCTTTAGCAGTAGGTACTCTACCGTGTCGTGTATTGAGGCCGCGTCATCATTTCCTGTCTCTTACATGCCCCCAGAGCAGAGCATAATGCTCCCTTCCCTCAGCTCTTGGACAAGTGAGACCGAGAATAAAGTCACACACACGTTTGCTGTAAACTATGCCATGCCGAGGCACAAGTAACAGCGAGTGTACATGAATACAAATACACAGGCCCATGACGTATCGTTGGGGGCCCGACGTGCACGCTGTCAAAGCCGTGGCAAACGTCGGTGAGAATTGGTGTTCTGTTGTATTCATGTCTGCCTAGGGCGCCGCCCATTTCGTCTAGTTAAAAGACAGTTGTTGGATTTCATTCAGTTGCGAATGCGAGTGTGACAAGTGCCGTTGAAACTCGTTAATACCGTGGCCACTCATCGATTAATCGTTAATTAAGGATAAATGGGATTCCGTCGGCTGAAGGGGAAGCGAGTGATACATGGAGCGACTCGCCAAGTCAGTACGTAGACTGTGTCTAGTCTAAAAAAATAGTTTCATCTATCTAATCTTTTCAATTCATGAAAATAGCTTGGTGGGTTCATTAATGCTTAATTGTCTTTAGTTATTTCAATCCCCGTGAATTGGAGTAATTGAGCGGAATTTGCAGCCCCGTCGGCCGTGACTGCGTGCATAAATTGTTATTCCAGTGGCATTTTATTACTTCCTTTATTTGCATATTTTGTTTTAATCATTGGTGGATGAAGATGTTGGGGGTGAATTTTTTGTCTCGGTGAATTTACGATTATCCTCGTAACGAGGAGGTCTGTATGAATGGCAGGAGATGATTTTTCTGTCTTGATATTTTTGCTTCCGGATGGAATCGTTCACATTTGAATTTTGGATTTTTTGTGTTATGTTGAGTCATTATGATCCAAAAAGTCCGAAAATGCAATTTTTAGATCGTGTCGTACGTATGTTCGCTAATGAATGAATAGAATTGAATCTTTTTTTTTCAAATGTAGGTATTTTTGAGCCCTATCGATCGCCATTAATTAAAATTTAATTCACCGATTGGTTTTTTTAATTTTTGATTTTTTTCGAAAATTGGTTCTCACACGATAACTAAAAAAATTTTCTCAATTGCTTAAATGATGGCTGAAAAAATATGTTTGCATGTCCCTTTGATCCAGTTCGAAGATGAAGGCGATAGCAATCATCGTTATTTTGATTTATTCGAAAATTTTCAAAAATTTTGTATTTATTGAATATAAAAATTCCGGGGATATCTGTGAACATTATGCTTCAAATGAATTCAATCATAGCTTAAAATGTTTGTTTTAATGCCATCAAGTCGAAGTTAAAAAATGATTACGATAGCTATTTGGTTGATTTGATTTTTCAGATGAATATTGAAACTTTTGAATTTTCCATGCATTTCCCTGAAGGTGAGCTTTGTGATGGTTTCTTCAAATGCACTGTTTCAAATTCATTCAAGTATGTGTAAATAAAATTTTTCTATTAACATTTCATCGAAGGGCTGAGGGCAGAGATACTTCTGTAAAAACGATAATCCGTTGTATAGAATAAAAGGGATAATAAGAATAATGATGCTCATAACTAAATTGAAAGTCTGACAGAATTAGGTAAAAGGAACTCTTATTGAATTTAATAAAATGTAATGAACAAGAAATTTTGTATGAAAGAAGAAAATGATACGCAAAATAACCATGCGAAAGTCTATTGCTAATTTATTAGCAAAAATAACTATCTATATTATAAAATAGATAAAATCCAAATTGACTTCTGGTGATGAAAATTTGGTACTCAAAATTAAGACTCCACTTTTACGGGTCACAAGGATCAAAATAATGGTCATGAGGGTCAGATTAAGGATCATAAGGGTCAAAGGTTCAGAATCAGATTTATGAGAGTCAGAATAAGGGTCACAAGGGTCAAAATAAGCGTCACGAGGGTCAAAATAAGGGTCACGAGAATAGGATTAAAGGTCACAAGGCTCAGATTAAGGGTTACAAGGGTCATATGGGTCAGAGTAAGGGTCATGAGGGGTATAATGAGGGTCGCGAGGGTCAGATTAACCCTAGTCTGGTCACCTGACGGGAAAATGCGATTTTAGTCACCTTCGCGGGAGAGTGCCGCCGTGTTATTTAGGCTCCAGCGTTGCCGAATCCACTCTACACTTCCCGGGTGCGTTTAGCGAGTTCCCAGCAACGTCTCGCAACAGGCAATCTCATTTAACGCGGGAAAAAATTGTTCACCTGTTGAAAATAATTTTTTTTCTCCCAGAATTAAGAATACAATACTGAAAAAAAAATACTAGAATTTTCCAGATACTTCAATTGACGAATTCAATTTTTCTCAAATTTTTCCGGTCAACCAGTCGATGGCAAGGTGAATAAAACGACGTGTTGCGGCAATTCCCTTGCATGGTGACCAATCTAGGATTAAGGGTCACAAGGGTCAGAATAAGGATTATGGGGGTCATATGGGGGTTGGCGAGCCGAGCGAGCAGGGGGCGAAGCCCCCCAGTACAATATACAATACAAAAGCAATTTTCCACTTGTTTAAGATGAATTTGTTCTTGAGATAAATGCACGATTGTTTCAACGATTCTCAGAAGAGTCTGAGGAAACCAATTGAATTAGCAATCGCATGAATCGGCAGCTACAATTGGCAATGAACTTGATGTTTCGGTGGCAATTGAATGAGTCAGTTGTCTCGAGGGATAATGACATTGTAATTGAATAATTACATGTCCCATTGGTTTTTCATTGCCGGAAGGAGAGGGCTGACTGCGTGGGCTTGTGTTGTCGTTTCCCACGCGTCACCTGTTGATATGAACAGCTATCGGTCTCGCATAGGAAAATGTGCAAGTCACCACAGACCTACGGAGACTCAATGATTCTTATTCAGCTAATGATAAAGAGTAATTAAAATTGACTGGAGGATGTAAGTGGCATGGCGTGTGCTGCAGATGAGGACACACGATAAATGCAGACTGAGATAGTATTCACGAGAATTTACTTAATGACACAGTCGGCTCGCAATCCGCTTCCTCTTCACGTTTGCTGGAATTCCCCTACCTCTGTTTACTCATCTTTTTCATCAAAGAACCCTGATGGCGTCGTAATAATTCATTTTCTTTCTCGATTATTGTTCGCGAGAGGTGAGAGTGGAGGGGAGAATGGTCTGGCATTTCGAAAGTCTCATGAATTTCCATTTCTAAGCAGGCGGTGGTTGTGGTGGTTTTACTGGGAGAGTCTGAAGAATATTTTAGAAGTGAAATACTTCTGATAATGGCTGGAGACTTTTTTTGTAGCTGAAAAATTCCCACAAAATATGAATTATTGAAAAATTAGGTCTTTATATTTTCTCTATTCATATTGACTCTTTTATTCTCAATTTTATTTTGGGAAAATAATATTTTCAAGTTCCATATGACGTAGTTGATCAATAAATGCTCCTCTCAATGATTTATTTATAGTGAAAAACGATAAATCTATTTTCATATGATCTGCAGTTCTGTTCCTCTCGAGTTGAATGAGCCCAATTCAAATGATTGGTAAATTTCACTCTGCACTTATGATTAAGGTCACTTCCGGAGAAACTGAGTCATCTGGTCAATTCGAATGAATTTAATTAATCACAATGTCCGCACAAACCCACTAGAATCATCATTCAATAACCGTCAAATGTTTTAACGACATTACCCCTGAGAGAGCATTTTGCACATGACTTTTGGGTCACCTGAGGTATAATTTACAATAGCAATAGCGATGTAGGTCATTGCCCTATTCTCACGGGCTGTGATCATGATGCTTGACATAATGAGTGGAATTAACGGGCTCTCGTGCGCGTTCGAGTTTGAATAGCACATAGTCTTCTTTTTTCAAATGATTAATTTTATGTTGCAGTTATATGGGAGTATAGAGTCGTGCGATAAGAATGACGCTGGGCTTGGAGTGCGCTCTTGGGGAGCGGGGTTTGAGAACCTCTTGAAAGATCCAAAGGGACTACAGACATTTGCAGTAAGTGAAATATTATCACTAATGGAGAAATGATATTCCACTCGTGACAGGAGTTGTTTTTCGAACTTTATGAGTTTTTCGCCCCGACGTCAGTTGTGGGAAAATAACTTTCTTGAATATTTCTGATTATTTCTGCATAAAAACATTTTTGTCGGACAAAGATGTCTTGAGGAATTTTATTACCTCATATTATCAAAAAACCAATCTGTTTGAGAACGTAAATGACTTCATTTTACGATAAAAATAACATCTCTCATAAAGATGTCTTCAGGAATTTTATTGTCTCGTATTATCAAAAAACTAATCTGTTTAAAAATAAAAAATAAAAAATAAAATGGCAAATTTGTTCTTCCCCAGGAATTCTTAAAAAAGGAATTCAGCCATGAAAACATATACTTCTGGGCGGCCTGCGAGCGCTACAAAGACACAGAGGACGCAACCTCCAGGCGACGACTGGCCTGGCAGATCTACCAGAGGCACCTCTCCACAAATGCCTCGGAGCCAGTCAACGTGGACAGTCACGCCGCTGGGCAAATCACCCAGGAGCTTCTGAATCGTGCCCCAGAGGAGCTCTTCCTCCAGGCCCAGAAGCAGGTCTTCAACCTCATGAAGTTCGACAGTTACCCTCGCTTCCTCAAATCAGCTCTCTATCATCACTGCAAGGAGAACGGCACTGGCGTCAGAACTGAGGATCACGATCTTGATTTAACGGGTTCACCAAATGTCAAGTTGAAGAAGAGTCATTCAGATGCTGAGGATCGATGTAGGAAGTCGATATTGCCTTGGCATCGTAAGAATAGGTAACAAGATAATTTTTTGGAATCAATTAAAATCGTGATATCAATGACTTATTGCTACATTTTAATTGATGAAATTTTTGCATTCTAAATAATTTGACAGTGATTCAATTGATGCATAATTAATTATTCAACAGTCATTCATTTGATGAAGTTAATGATCAATTTAATTGCTTTCGAGTGGAAGCATTGTAATCATTCAAATTAAAGTTTTGGATTTTTTGACAATCAGAATTCCGGGGATATCCTCGAATATCATGCTTCGAATTAATTCAATCATAGCTTAAAATGTTTGTTTTAATGCCATTAAGTCGAAGTTAAAAGATGATTACGATAGCTGTAGCGGCCAATTTAATTTTTATAATGATTTTAAAAAATTTTGAATTTTTCATGAGTTTCCCTAAAATTAAGCTTTTTGATGGTTTCTTCAAATTGATGTTTCAGATTCATTTAAGTATGTGTAAATAAAATTTTTCTATTAACACTTTATCGAAGGGCTGAGGGGAGAGATAGAACTGTACAAAAGATAATCAGTTGTATAGAAGAAAAGGGGTAATAAGATTAATGGTAATGCTGATAGTATTTACCTAAGTTGAGAATCTGACAAAATTAGGTAAAAAGAAATCTTATTCAATTTAATAAAATGAAATAAACAACGAATTATACATTAATAGAAGGAAATGATGTGCAAAATAACCATTCGGAAGCATATTGCTAATTTATCAGCAAAAATAACTATACTATATACAGTGCAAGAGCAATTTCCCACTTGTTTAATTTAATTGAATTCTTTTCTCTACTTAATTCATACTCAGTTCTTCATAATGAATCCATCTTCAATATGATAGCATTTCTTTATTCCAATTTCAATGCATTAAATTTCTATCGACTCTTCATCCTCTAAATAAATTAATCAACTGAAGTATTTTTCCTAATCAAAACAAAATCGTTTTATTCATCAGTTCCACTCAATGAATCCATAATGTTATTCTGCAGATCAAAATCGAAGGATCGAGGAGAGTCAGAATACAACAAAACTCCAAACAGAGGAGAGCCCATATACAAGAGCTTTACAACAATAAAAAGAGATACAGAGGGCAACAACAATGATGATAGCATCTCCATATCAAGTAGTAGATCATCCCTAGCATCCTGGGACCTCGCACTACGTCAGTCCTTCAGTAAACACGTGAGTAGGCCCCCATAAAAAATCATAATTGGATGAATTTTCCAGTAAATCCTAGACAATTAATTAATCTTTGAGAATAAATTCTCTTGACATTTTTTACATTGAATGCGTGTGTGTGTTTGTGTGTGTGTGTGACATTTTTTCGCATCAAGCATTGTTTTTATCTGTAAATTGTAGTCACTATCGTCGTACGATGGTCAGAATGATAAGAAAGAGGTACAGACGAAGTGCACTGGCTTGTGCCGGGTTATTTTACCCGATGGCTCAACAACGGTCGTACCAACAAGCCAATCTGAGAGCATTAAAGATGTTGTTACCCGGCTTCTTGAGAAACGAGCACTACGATATTCTAATTATGATGTTCTCGTACTGGCCACAGACGAGGTTAGTGCTCTCAATCTCTGTATTATTCAAGTGTTCATATTAATCGATCTAAAATGCACATTTTTCGTTTCATTTTCATGCGATAATTTTCGTTTTTCTTGCTTTGTGCACGGTTTTAACTTGTGGTGATGGGTAAATAGAAGATAAAATACTAATAATACTAATTTGCACGTTAAAATCTAAAATCGATTACGATGAATGACGTAATAAAATAATGATGATAAATGGAATTTTAGTTGAAATTTAATTAAGCTTAATCATTTTTAGATGATAAATCTGAAATATTCATCGTCGGTGCTTGCTGGACAAGAGGTGGAGGTGGTACCAACGAAAGTACTGAAAGTCGATCTGCCATCTCGAAGGATAATAACAGTAGTGGCTCACAAGAATCGAACGTTGCGAGAGGTTCTCAGGCCTTTGCTCAACAAATACGGTTTCAAACTCGAATTGATCACCATTTGGGGTGAGGGACATCCAGTTTCATTGGATATACCGGCTATTAATGCTCCCAGCCGGCTGGTACTGACGTCCAACAATGAAGGTGCGATGGTCATTCCAGTTTAGAATTCCAATTATTAATTTTTTGGGTCTGAATGGAAGCATTGTAATTGTTCAAATTTAATTTTAATGATGCTGATAACATTCAGCTAAGTTGAAAATCTGACGAAATTTGGTAAAAGGAAGTCTTATTTAATTTAATAAAATGAAATAAACAATTAATTATACATGATAGAAGAAAATGATGTGCAAAAACATCATTTGATTGGACATGAAATCGTTCATGATTCATTTACTTATCCATTTACGTTTTTATTGACTCTATTATTTACAGACGATTATTTTTATCTCGTCTAATGAAAAAATTGAACAACATTCAAATAAATCCAATTCCAAATGAATCCAAAATGGATCCCAATGAATGCATTCAATTAATTTTGGGAATTCTGCTGTAATTTTCAGATTTTCAACGAGATAATTTACATTACCAAGAGGACATTGAGCAGGGACAGTCTCAGCTCGATGAAATTACTAATAAAGTATTCGAAGAACTTTTAGTCGGGAAGAGTACAAATAAATATTACAGTGAAGGTTCATGCAAGGTAATGAATTGGAGTTATTTTATTCTGATTTGATTGAGCATTCGAATTTGATTAAATGTTGGATAATGATCATGGTGATTGTGGATGACAGTCTGACGACCAGCGCTCCGAAGGCTCCTCCATCCTCTCCAGCAAGTTTTTCACAAGAGACACAACAGTTCTTGGAAAGAAAAAGGGGAAATCGAAGAGCAGTAATTTGAGTGAGAAGAGCAATTCCACGGACTATACAGGGGAGGAGAGTTTGCAATCGAGTAGACCACATGCTCCGTTAATAGCCAAGTGGCGAAATGGGGTCAAACTTCAATTGCCTGGAAGATTCGATGGTGACGGTGAGTGTTTACGCCTTTTTCTGGGTTTTCCATAGAATTTTATGTTTAAAAAAAAAAATTTCCCTCATGAATTTAAATTCTTTTTGCAGAATTGTACGAGGGATTGAAGAGGGCTCAACGGTCGAGACTCGAGGATCAGAGGGGCACAGAAATCAATTTTGAGCTTCCAGATTTCTTGAAGGTAAAAATTAAATGAATGAAAATGGAAACAATAGTTTATAAAATAATATTTAATCCCCAAATTTCCTGAATTCCAGCAAAACAAGGAAAATGGAAAGCACACAGAGGTTAAAAAGCACAGAAGAGGTCGTCTCCTGGGCTCGAGTTCGGACTGCGCCTCGAAATTCTACGACTCGAGTGACGACAGCAAAAAGCTCAACCTAGTGACAAACCCAGTAATCGAGAAGTGTCACTACAACTCCGAGGACTCTCAACCTGCCCTAAAGTCCCTGGAGTCATCGAAAAGGTTTGACTCCATGAGCAGTCTCGATGGTACCCTGGAGGACGTGGACAAGACAATAATCGAGAACGGAAATAGCTCGAATCAGTCGAAAAATCAAGAGTCGTTTTTCGAGAATCAGTTCCCTGGATCGCCAGGGAAATTATCAAAGCCTCCACCGCTTCCGCCCAAACCCAAGGGTCTTCTGACGAAACCGTTGCCACGAGCCACTCAAATCAGTCCCATAACGCCGTTGGAGTCACGTGAGAATAAAAATATTTTCTGAATTTTGTTGTCAAATATTGAATTTTCTCATCATCACTAGTTGTCACAAGAGACAAGCGGGACTTTAGACTCTGAAAGTATTTTAAACGTAATTTTTTAACTGAAAAATCGCAATTTTATGGAGAATTTATCGAGCAACTGTACATTCTAACACAAGTGCCTTATAATTTTTTTAACAATTGCAATCACGTTGTGATGAGTAAGTGTTACTCAGATGGAAGAATATTTCGAAAATATTTTCCTGGTTATACAGGATCAAAGTTGAATCTATTACGTAATTTAAAAAAAATTTAAATTACCTAAATCAACTATTTATGAAATGTGAAAGTTTTAACTGAATGAATAAAAAGAATTATTTTGTATGCAGTACAATTTCTGTTTTCCAATTAATTCCTGTAATGTCAATTAAAATTGTGAAAGAATGCTAATGAGGGACTTTAACAGTTTTATGGAAAATTTATTTCAAAGAAATTGCGATGACTCATTGTGATGCGTAAATATTATTCAAATGGAAGAATACCTGGAGATTATGTTCCTGGTTGTACAGGATCGAAATTGGTGAATTTATTGTTGAACGATTATTTATAAAATGTGAAAGTTTATAAATAACTGAATTTTACGTGTATAAATAAAGAAAATTATTTTGTATGCAGTACAATTTCCTATTCAACTCATTTCACCAATTGATATCGACATTTCCCTTTGTACCCACTTATTTATTTCATTTGATCAAATTGAATAAGATTTCCTTTTACCTAATATTGTCAGATTTTCAACTTAGTACCCTGAATGAGTTTGAAACATTACATTTGAAGGAACCATCAGAAAGCTCACTTTCCGGGAAATTCATGAAAAATTCAAAATTTTCAACAATCATTATACAAATCAAATCAACCAATATAGCTACCGTAATGATCTTTAACTTCGACTTAATGACATTAAAACAAACATTTTAAGCTATGATTGAATTCATTTGAAGCATGATATTCAAAGATATCTCCGGAATTCTGATTTTCGAAAAATACAAAATTCAATTCAACATTGTGACGAGCTCAATTTGTTTCTGAGTTATGAATCATTTTAAATAAGTCTAAAGTGTCCGTTTCACCCCACCCTCCCCTATACGTATATGTAATGGGTCGATATAACACAAAAAAACCAAAACTTAAATTGAACGATTGCAATGCTTCCCTTCGGAAGCAAAAATTGAAAAAAACTTGAAGCCTTTTGAATGAAAAGAAAGCCATACGAGAAACCTCAGCAAAATTAAATTTTTGAACGTACAAAACCGCGTCAATAATTGGCGAAACACCCCTATAACAAAAATAAAGTGACAGACGATCGAACAATTCAAACATCACGATCAGGGAGCACGTGCTAGCCCCCCAGCCAATGAGAGCGCGGGATACCCCGACACTAGCGCCACCAAACGACTTCCAACGAACGTCTCATTTGAGAGGATTCAATATTTGTCAACAGCTAGGCTCGCCGGTCCCTCAACGATCCTCTGTTTCATTATTCCCAGAAAACAGCTCTGTTTACCTTCGATAACAGATGCCAGAGGTGTCTCATTGAGAGACCTTCGATAACCCCTCAGTTCTCTGTGTATTTTTATCGAGTACAAGTGAAATAAATTCACATTCATGTGAATAGTCCACTGGGCCCCTTACGTGTGGGCATTCCCTCGACATTTGCAGTCGATTCTTCATTGTTGAGGTAAGAGAAAAATAATTAATCCATTTCACCACTAATTTCTGTGCTTCCCGGAGTTTTGGGAATTTTGTCTGATTTTTTTGGCGGAATTCTAACCCCAATCGCGAGGGAACAATGGTACACGTCCGTTGTCACTCTCCCCGTGGGAATACCGAGTTTAATAGGTTTTTTTTATCAACATTTATCACTGAAAGTGCATAACAACTGTGAGAATACCGACCACAGATGAAATAATTCGATAGTAATTGATTGAAACGTGTGAATAAGTGTACATCACTTTCAGTTTCCAAACCGTTATTCCATTTCTCGGAAAATTGGCATCTCCCTGGCATCAGTTCCCGCCCAAAGAATTCTCTCGTCTTTTTCTCATTCCACGGGGGGCATTGGAGGGAATAAATCATTGCAACCAGCAAAAAACAGTTCATAATTGACATCAATTTAATTGACGACAAGTAAACGAAACGAATAAACAATTAAAAGCTAAATTTCTCGAGATTTTCAATATTTTAATACCGATAATTCCTTTCGATGGGATTTTTTAACTTTCATTAGTGAAAATAATCATCATGATTACATGAATTAAAAACTGAATTAATGGCAATCGACTGAAACGTGTGACAAGCGATTTTTTTCACTCAAACCGTTGCTGCATTTCTCGGAAAGTTCGTACGTCTAGCATTACAATTCTCTCGTCACTCTTTTATTTCTCGAGGACTTGTGAAAATAAATCGTGGCTCGAGACGTGCCACAGAGGCCCTATTAACATTCAGTTATTTATAGCAATTAAATTAGTGATAGGGGAGAGGTTAATTTAATTAGTGTTAGGGAAGAGGGCAAATTAATTAGGGATAGGGAAGAGGGGAGAAAATATACACACAGATTTAAATAATGAGTTGAATTGGATCAAATCTACAGCTACGACTTCATTTGAAGTTTATAAAAACGATCACATTGTCATAAGACTGTGTCGCAGGAGTTGTAAGGTAAAGCTAAAACGGAGTAAAATGGACACTTCGATTTCTTCCTCAATTTTGCATGTTTCAACAATGTTATTCAATTTCTGAAACACTAGTCGTGACTGCGATTTTCAAATTGAAAAAAAAACTCATTTTTGACTTTTGTCGTGGGGGTGGTAAACCAAATTTTTCGTTGCTCATTCATCCTCCCCTCCTCCCATTGTTTTATGGTGATTTCCTTTGTAAGTAGAAAAGTAGCCATCTTACGAATTTTGCAAATGGACAAAAGGTCAGTTGAGTAGGGCGTGCAATTGCTCGTTGAAAAAAAAATCAAATTTATTTCAATAGTAAAACAATAGTAAATCCAACGCTACTCTATATTTCAAATTTAATTGCAAAATTTAATAGAGTTGAAGTTTATTTGTTAATATCTCTTCCAACTCTATTTCAGTAGTGAAGTGGTAAACGTAGATAAGTCGACTTGTCTCCCAGTTGAGTTTTTGGGGAATATTTCCGAATCTAAGGGAGATAGCGAAATTTTCGTAATTACATTCGTTGTAGCATTCAATCGGCTCCACAAAAAAGTTTATAACAAAAATTTTGCTATTTCCCTTAGATTCCAAGATATTGATTGAACAATGGTCAATAGTCAAAATTGTCTTGTCTCCTTTTCCCACTTCGCTACTGAATTTCTCTCTATAAAAAGATACAGACCCGATTCTGTTGTGAAATGTCTGTTGAAAATTTTCTTGATTACCAGTTGAATAGGACCAACTTTTTCGGTTGACCATTTTACCCCACTCTTGAATAATTTTTCGGTTGTGGACTTTGCCAAGAAACAATTTTTTTAAATTCGATTATTGAAAATTTTTCGAGCATCCATTTTAGTGCACCCTATACGGATTTATCAGGTGTACATATTGCCCAATAAAACAATTTTCAAAAAATTGAATTTTGAAAAAAAAAATTTCGCAAATTTTTTAAATATCCATTTGACTCCAGAGGTCCATATTGCCCCACCCACGCCCCCCAAAATAAAATAAAAATTGAAAGGGGGAATTCCTCAGGTTTCTCTGCATTTCAGCATTTATTATCACTTAAAATACATGATAATTATGATAATTAAATCAATAATTGTTTGGAAAAAATTATCGGAGCCTGAAATGAATATAGACTGACTACCGAATATTTTATGTAAAATAAATCAGTGAAAAACAAGAGAAACCGAGCATTTCAACGGTCAAATATCTCAAGTATCTCAGCATTTGGACTCGATTAGCAACTGTTGTAGCCTCTAACAAACCCTTCGATTTCCCTCTCGTGTAACGTGAGCTATCGAACGTGCAAAAAAAAACGTCCTCACAGCGGGAAGTGTCTTTTACACGAGAAAAAGTGTATCAAAGGGTTCATGCGGTTGAAAAAAGGCAGGAGGAAGCGTGAAATTCTATGTGAGCAGGAAAGAGTGAGAGGGGAGAGGATAGACGTGCGGGAGAGAGATTAAGTGTGCGGAGACCGTTGGAAACATTAGACTAATTTAACGAGCCTTTTTTTATTCATTAACCTAATCATCACTAATTGAATAAAACAAAACAATCGATATCAAATTTCTGCGGATGAATATCAACCTCAAATGCAATTAAATAATCTCTGAAATCAATTGATGATTGAAAAAACGAGGTGATGACAGGTAATCCCCACTCAATTAATTAGATTAAGTAAACGATTAATTAAAAAATTGAAAAAAAATTTGAATAAACCAATTGAAATTGGAAGGAATTGAAAGTTTTGAGCTCTGAGGGACTGGAGATATCTCAATGATTGATGATCAATGAATAATTGACATCAGGTAGTGGAAATTTAATTAATAAATGTAGTTAAGTGGCTGAATGACATTGAGAGCTTTAAAAAACCTTCGAATTCCCCTAAATGAAAATAAAAAATGAGATCCCAACGGTCGTTTCGTCTGGGGTCATAAAGCCACGATTGGCTCCCCACTACAGATGAAGATTTTTTTCTCGTGCGCATTCATCACCATCCACCTCCCTCCCACGTACATTCGCAAACTCTTTCATTCTGTTAAGTCACATATAACGCTCGATTTCGTTTCAACGGTCGGCGCATTTTTCCTCGCCGGTCACTTGCTCCCTTCTCTCTTGCTCTCGGGTGCATTGGTGCGTTGAATGCTTCCGACCCTTTAATTTAAATCCCGGAACGTTGTTATCTCCCTTCCGGTGAGTGTTATTAGGATTATTGTTTGATAAATGTGGAAATTTAACTCGGGCTGTGTTGATTTTATTTTTTTACTATGTTGGGTATTTAAATTATGGAGATTTAAATTGTAATTGGGTGGTGGTGGGAGTTGTTGAGGCTTCAAGCGCTTTTTGCTTCCGAATGGAAGCATTGTAATCGTTCAAATTTAAGTTTCGAATTTGTTGTGTTGTATATCGACCCATTATGATCCAAAACGTCGGAAAATGCAATTTTTAGACCGCCACTAATTGAAATTTAATTCATCGATTAGTTCTTCTAATTTTTTATTTTTTTCGAAAATCGGTTACGATACGATAACTAAAAAAATGATCTGAATTGATTGAATGATGGCTTAAAAAATTTGTGAGGATGTCACTTTGACCGAGTTCGACGATGAAGGCGATAGCAATAATCCTTATTTTGATTTATTCGAAAATTTTCAAAAATTTTGTATTTCCTGAAAAGCAGAATTCCGGCGATATCTTTGCATATTATGCTTCAAATGAATTGAAGCATAGCTTAAAATGTTCGTTTTAATATTATATTGGTTGATTAGATTTTTATGATGATTTATGAAAATTAAAAATTTTTCATGAATTCAGTAGCGAAGTGGTCAAACGGTACAAGCCAATTTTAACTATTAACCACTTTTCAATGAATATCTCGAAACCTAAGAGAGATAGCAAAATTTTTGTTATAACCGTTTTTGTAGAGCCGATTGAGAGCTACAAGAAGTGTAATTATAAAAATTTCACTATCTCCCTTAGATTCGGAAATATTACTCAAAAACTCAACTGGGAGATAAGTCGACTTGGACCACTTTACCACTTCGCTACTGAATTTCCCTGGAAGTGAGCTTTCTGATGGTTTCTTCAAATGTGATGTTTCAAATTCATTCAAGTATGCACAAACAGAATTTGTATATTAAAATTTTATCGAAGGGCTGAGGGCAGAGATAGAACTCTAAAAAAGACAATCGGTTGTACAGAAGAAAATGGATAATGAGAATAATGATGCTGATAACATTCAACTAAGTTGACAGTCTGACAAAATTAGGTAAAAATAAATCTCATTCAATTTAATAAAATGAAATAAACAATGAATTGTACATGATAGAAGGAAATAACTTGCAAAATAACCATTCGGAAGCATATCGCTAATTTATCAGCAAAAATAACTATACTATATATACAATACAAGAGCAAATTCCCACTTGTTTTTTTTTCGTCTTGTGTTCTGTTAACCCCTCGAACTCTGGGGGAATTGGTGGCTTCGTGTGACCAACTGTCGTGATCCCATGTATCTAAAACGCACACCGATACATAAAACTGTCGATTTAAACCACTTCGGGAGCTCGAATGATAACGAAATTCAATTAATTTCTTTTTAGAAAATGAATTATAATGGATTAGAAGGATTCATTTCGAATTCTCGAGCTTTTGTGATGAAATACGTGTGAAAAAATGACTTGAGGTATATCCCAAGGCAATCGGACCCAAGAGTTAGTCTATGGATTTCCGTAAAAAATTCTAAATGACTTGATTTAGAATTTTAACTTAATTTTTAAATTCTTAATAAAAATAAGAAAAAAAAGAATTAAAAAGAATAAATTAAGAATTTAATAATTTAAGAATTTTTTATTTCTTAATTTTAACTTAATTTTTAAATTCTAAATCAAGTTAAACTCAATCAGAGCTTAAAATGTGGTTTAAAGGCATTAAGTCAAAGTTAAGTTAACTAATTGCAATTTTTCAATTATTTCATCAATCTTCCTCTAAAAGTATACTTTCTTTTTTTTTCACATTCTTAAAATGTTCTCCAACGGCTCAATATCGAGATTTAAATTCAGACTTGCAAAGTTTAAATAATGAAATAATTGTAAAATGTCCGGAAACAGGATGAAATAGAACTCAAATGAAAGCTCTGATGTTTGACTACAAAAGTAGAAGAGCATTTCACCGTTGAAAAAATTGCCAAACACCCCGGATATCCTCAACTCCAATCTTAATATTCATTAATGAATGTAAATGGAAATTGCACGCCATTTTTAAATAATTCTCACTGCCTACATTTTTAAAAACCCTCATCATTTAACTTCATTCAACGCAACGTAAAAATTCTAGTCGTATAGTTCCTGGTACCCACAACTCTTTCATCAACGATAAATACTTCTCTCTTCCGTCGTGAACAGGGCTTTTATTGACGCGCATTATATTTACACTGTCGTGCTCGATAAGGCCTGTACAACATCCGTTTCTTAACAGCTGATTAAATTCCTCCACAATTTTTTTTCAAGTCATCTCATTCTTATTTTCAGTTGCAACTGGAGCACAACGCAGTCCATCCATTCATCGATACAAAATAGAGACACTTGTGAACACAATTCAGTGATAATAAAAAAAATAAATAAATACACGTGAAGTAGAAAATTTTCAAAGGACAGTTCTAACGAAAATAAAATTAAAAAAAAAGTGAAGTGAAGGGAACGCAATGCAGGCGAGATCGGGTGCCCCGTTGGAGAAAATAATAGAGGAGAGTGCCTATAGTTCTCCGATAGGGAGACGACAGGGCTCAGCTATGATGATCTCCCCAGTGGCACAGATAGCCCAGGAACTCAGCAAATCGAGTCTCTCTGGTACTCCGACCCACGACGCACGTCATAAGATGGGTGAGTCCCTCTATTTCACGAATTTATTGTTTATCAAATGTTTTGAGAGAATAAAGGAATGATCCAGTTTTACGGTGAACGGGTTTCGATTCAGATAGTGTTGAGTTCTCGATGGGACGGGACGGTATAATTGTGAGGGGTTTCCCCGTCCTTGAAAGGCATATCTGACGTCTCGTGTCTTCCACCCTGTTTCTCCAGAGGTTCTCAATTCTTCTAGACATTTATTGAAATTTAATTGGTATTCACGTGAGAATGCTTGACATTGGGACATTGAATTGAATTTTATCGTGAATAATTCATTTACTTTGAGGGCTCAAGAGCATTGGGTTTTTTCATATTCAACGAGTTTTTTTAATTTACTGCATATTAAACATCGAATTCAATTGAATTATGAATAAATTGGGAATTTTAGGTAATAGAAGACTGAATTACATTAATTGAAAAACCAAACCATTGAATTTTTGTTCGAAATTTATGGTAAAATGTAATTATCAAATCTTAATTTGTACGTCATTCCGCTTAATTCAAGATTGAATTAATTAGATTAATGGCAGTTACAAACTTGTGGACTTTCATTGAAAATTAATCAATATTCACGTGGCCATTCGCGACATTGAGGCCTTCAATTTGATTTTATACTGATTATTCATTAATTTTTCATTTATTATGAGATTTTTGCTTTCGAATGGAAGCATTGTATTCGTTACACCTGAAATTTCCATTTTTTTTGCAAATTTTCGGAAGAAAATTGCTAATTTTTAGCAAAAAAACTATACGTGATTTAGACCTGCGCAACGAATTTTCTTATTTTATACTGCATATTAAACATCGACTTCAATTCTGAATAAACTGGAAATGTTCGGTAATAAAAGACTGAATTACAAAAGAACAGAAAAATAAAACTATTGAATTTTTTAAAATTCAATGATTTTCACCGAAAAAAATTCTCTTGCAATTTCTGCATCACAATAATTTGAATTCTATTTTTCTCCTCTCAAAATTTCTTATGAATCACTCATAAAAGATCAAAAAGTGAATTCAAGATTTAATTAATTAATTTGATGACAATTACAAACGATGAGACCATCGTTTCACCCCATGTAAAACACAATAAGCTACAATTCCACTAATTGCTGAAATTAATCTACGCAAAAATTGAGCCCAAAGGGTTTGGATTAATCCTCGACAATTAAATAGTCGCTGTGGGTCAGGGGCTGGACTGAGAACCCCTCGGGGTTCTCTAGAGAGAGAGCGGCAAGTAGCTCGTGCTAGCCGGGTTGAAGACCAGGTGCTCACCTGCCCCTCACTATGGGTGGCTGTCCCCGGCGCCCCTTTTTGCCAGGGAAACTCTCACACACACACTAGTACAACACTCTCAGGTTCTTCTTCATTCTCGATGTGTCTGGGTGTCTGTGTGTCGTAGGTATACGCAAAATGCCCTCCCGGGGCACTGACCTACCCTTATTCTCAACTGGGAGAGGAAAGACCGTTAGGTCTAATCAGCTGTTTACATCATTAGTTTCTCCCTTGCAATATCAGTCAATTTTTTAATTAATTATAGATCGGTTAAGAATTGTGAAGTACGTGGATTCAGAAGAGAAAGTAAACACTTTTTTTTTCTTTCGCTAAGTACGAAAGTGTCTCTTAACATTCCTTAACATTAATAATTAATAATTATCAATTATCAATTATTAATTGAAGAATTATCTCGGGAGTAAGTGATTTTAAAAGGAACTCTAAAAAGGCGTTTTTTATTGCAAATTTAATTTAATTATTTTATTTACATATTTAATTTTATTTAATTCTCTACAATAAAAATCTTTCGACATTTTCTTCTAAAATCGCTCATTCCCGAGGTATTTACAAAATAGAATGAACAATGCCGAATTTTCGCTTGTTCGAAGTGTCTAGATTTATTGCGGATATAATTAATGACGTAAATATTTGAATTGTTATTTTTAAAGTTAAAAATTTAAAAACACCCTTTTTATAAACTCAGATTAATGTTCGCAATCTGGCTTCTTCAGTTGGCCTCTATTCTTTTGATATCAACATCTGGAGGAACTGTCGCAAATTCAGGGGATCTTTTCAGCAAAAAAGAAGAATAGAAAGTAAAAAAAAAAAAGGCGAGTGATCTTTGAACACCGTATCGCACGTATTCTTACGCACATATTTTGTCGAAGGGTGTGCACTTCGGAGGGGTGAATGCGTCTGCTCTTCTCCCCTTCGATCTTCCTCGCCTCTTTCTTCGCCATTCAGTTCAACTGTCTCCCGATACACTCGGTGAATTTAAAGGGACAGACATTTAAAGTTTAAAGAGCACAATTCTTCAGTTCACAATGGGAGGTAGAGAAGAAAAATGGGCAAACTGTCGTTCACGTCGTTTATCATTTGCAATATTAACAGATTATTTTTGCAAATTGACGACTCTTTCGAGTCTCTTCCTTTCAAGGGTATTCAAGTACTTCGGGAATTTTTCACCGTCGAATTTCCATTTAAGTCTCGTTTTATCCTAGTTAACGAGCATCTTGAAATGATTTTAGTCACTGTTAGAAATTTTTTGAAAATCAAGCAATAGTTGCATTTCAATTTTCAATGTTGTGAATTTGAATTCTCTCACTCAGGTTGTAACGTCAATATAATTGGATTCTTCATATGAGATTATCACTCATATTTGAATGACGTATAGAATTTTCAAATTCATTGCGAAAATTGAAGGTCACATCCAACGGAATTCTCAGTGGTTTGAAAATTCAGGGAAATTGTTGCTTAAATTTTCAAATTATTTAATAATTTTCACTGTAATGTGGACCTGAAAATTTCAGTTCCATTGAATACTCCAGAATTCAACTGATTTTTCAATAACGAAATACACGAAAACTTCGTGTGAATGAGTGATTGTTAAAAATTTCAAGATTTTTTATGGCCGTGACTATTCGCACCATTGCATGAATCACTCCCGTACAGTCCATACACTCCACGCATGCGTGAAGTTTGTGTGTTTCACGCAGCCGAATTTTCATATTGCTGTGTGTTTCACGCAGTTGAAGTTTCATACTACTGTGTGTTTCACGCAGTTGAAGTT